TTTTGGTTACATATTGTAACCCAAGACAGCAGCGTAGCCTGAAAATGATGGTACTCTTGTTAGCCTGTTGTTGTGGTTCAAGCTGACTGGGCCACAGATTGCTTCAGGCACATCTTCTGCTGATGCTTGGTCTCTCTCCCCTCTCGCATGGGGCTCTGCATGTACCACCACATCCTGGACATTCTCACTGCCGTCAATTCCCTCAACGGACAGGCAATCACCTTCTTGCCATCTGAACCACCACGGGCTTCAGGGAAAGGTCCTGCTCTGGCAGCCTTCTCCCTCTCCTTCTCTGGGACTCTTCTCCTCATCTTGCTTCTCAGGAGGACGGTCCTTTGTTCTCTCACCTCCCCCTCCTCCAGCAGAAAAACTCCCCAACATTAAAGACAGGACAGCTCAAAACAAGACAAAACTGAAAGAGAGCAAAAAAGAACACTGGGGCTGCCTCTTAAATAAATACCTTGATGGCAGAGGTGCTGCTTGACATGGTCCTTGGGGAGGCTCTCAAAGCTTCACACGAGCCTACTCCCACTTTTACAAAAAACACCACCAGACTCAAACCCACAACACCTACATCTAGTTGGCATGGAGGAGGGAAAAAAAAAAACAAAACCAAAAAGGACCATCTAGTGATTCAGTAATTTGAAAATGTAATTATTTGAATAAGCAGTATGGAGTAGAATACATCCATTGATTATATACCTCAATTTCCTGTTAGAGCTCTTTGGATACTGAAATTCTCTAATTTATTTGGAGTGGGCTCATTTATGTGTTTGCCTCATGCTCAGCCTGAAGGAATCTTGAAGTAGAAGATGAACCTTAGTGTAATTACATGATTTTTGCAATATTTCAGTTTTGGGTCTGTAAAGCAAATGTATTAAAACCAGTGGTACTAGGAAAGAGTCTTTAATATATTGCATTTAAAAAGGTATATCTTCTCCCAGGTCAAGGTATTGATTCAGTTCACAGTTTATGAAAGTATTACTCTTTCATCTTACGTCACTCTTGCACTATTCTTCATAAGAAATAGTGCTTCATTTTTCCTTTCTAGTGTGCTGGTAGTACTGTGCACCACTAATACAGGAGGGTTTTCCACAGGGGTGACAAAGCTTTCTTTTGGGGTAAAGGCAATTCTTTCTTTCTTCCTCCTGCTAAAATGCCAAATGCCAAGCTTTTTTTTTTAATGGCAAATTACTTCCTTAGAGAAGGACTCAGATATGCTTTAGTGGATTTGGTAAACTTTAATTTGTAAGGTCAAAAAATAATTACTGTTTGTTTTACTATATTTCTCCTTATTTTGTGATGACCAGAGTTTATTTCTACCTTTCAGAAAACAGGGCAGTACTTGAAGGCTTGACAAATGCATCCCAGGTTGAAAAACTGCTACATTCCTCCTCCTCTTCCTCCTTTAGAAAATTGACTGATTTAAAGAGGTAAAGTTGAATGTTTCACTTTCTGTAGCATGCCCTGTGGTTTCTAAAATTAACTCATGTCCATCTCTCATTCTTATCACCTATGTCTGTTTCCCTAACTGTTGAAAAGGATGTCTTTGGAAATCTTTGTAGAGATCTATTTACTTTTGTTATTTTATAGAATTATTTGTCAGTACTTTTGCTGAAGTCACCCAAATGTTATTTGAATTTAAATTAATCTAATGTTCTTTTTGAATCAGATAAATTTTAGGATATTTGAACATGCTTTAGAAATCAGAGGCAATTCCTTACCCACAGGAGTCAGTATGCTCTGAATAACTTGCTGCCAAGGGCCACGCAAAGGGCTGTGTAGCCCTGTTCGTACAAGTTGCTAACACTGAACTTGGATCTTCCCAACACAATTTTTGTATCTTATTTCACTTCGTTTTCCATTTAACAAATACTTACCTCTTTTTAAATACAAATCTTCTTTTAGAAATCAAACCAGGTATGTTCAGAGACTAGTATAGGTGATTCCATTCATGTAGTATGGCTATTTAAAGGCCAGTTATCCTGGGTGTTCCATGATGTAACTTGTATATCAACTGGTAATTTTCAGTTGATCCTAAATAACTTTGCAATTTTCTTTCAGATGTATTTTTAAAAAGTAAATATTTCACTTCATGTTTACCTGAATTTTCCTTATAAGTTTTATAATAAATTCTGCAAATAGTATCACTTAATATGTTCCTGACAGTACTTGTATGAAGTTGATGAGCGTAAGCATTTATGGGATTAAAGATGATGGTAGCAATCTTCCTTGTTATCATCTGATTATAGAATTGTTTCCCATCATGGACTAAAAGAACATCAGAAAAAGTTGAGTGTATTGAAGGAAAACATATTAATAAAAAAAGGACTTTGAAGCTGGTGAGTATTTGTATGACAGTGTCTGACGACTTTGTTGCCTATAATTGTTATATAGCAATACCAACTGCTTAAAAAAAATAATAAAAAAGGACCAGCACCAAAAAAGTGACCACGGTATCTCTTAAAATATACTGTCCCTTCACAGATTTTCTGTTTCTTGTTTCTTTTCTGTTCAGGCAGATGTTAACCTGCAGGTCCTGTCAAAAATTAACTGTTGATGAAACCTTATCTAAGCATCACTATCTCCATATATCTAGTTTAACTTAAAACAGCTCTTATATTTTACTGTTCCCTAAATTTATCCCTTTTCAGGACGTTATTCTTGAGTTTTAGTCTCTGGTATTTGGCTATAGCTTCATTTCACTTGATCAGATTAAAATATACTGGGACATTAATATAATCCTGGTATTGCCAAGAGATCACGCAGAAAGACAAAATGACCGATTCAAACACCAGACAAAGGTGTCTAATGATGCCTTGCGATTTAAACATTATTGCTGTTGCTTTGAGAATTGAATTTATGAGAATTCAAAAAACGTTAGGGTATGACTGTTGTGTATAAAATGGAAAATAACAACAGTTGTCCCTGCAAGTTTTTTTTCTGTTTCTGAGAATTCCAACATGCTTTAAGAAAAGATAAATCTTCCTGTTTGAGTGAGAAGCCTCAAAATTCTTCAAGAACAAGGCTTAAGGAGTAAAGTTTTGCTGTTAGGAGTCCTAATAACTGGTTTTATATACCTCCTTTACTTTGAGCTTTGTGTAGTTGCTCTTCACTTTGTTCCACTTCTATTTTCTTTGTACTGTATTTGGTAAGGTAGGAAGAATGGGATGATGTGTATGCCTTAATGTACATTTTGGCCTGAAGCACTGAGAACAGTTTAATCATTGTTAGAAGTGGAGACCAATTGTTCAAAATGCAACTCTTCCTATTGTTTGATATTATATAGTTCTCTTGGAAATATGTTAAAGCCTTTCATTGGGGTAGAATTTTACAAAACTAAATTTTGTTACCAAAACTCCTATTTAATTTCTTTTTTTCCTTTCTCTTCTAAAGGTAAGAGAAGCAAAAGAAGTAAGAAAATGCTGGGATCAGAACGAGGTGTCGTGGAAGAATGGCTGTCAGAATTCAAGGTGAGCTGAGGAGATGAATGATGGCTTTATGCCACAGAACATTGATTTATATTTTTTTATCCAGTTTTATATTTTTAATCCAGTGATTAACATTTTAAATGTCTGTTGATTGATCTTTCAACTTCTGTTGCATAAAGCACTCAAAGGTGTATGTAAATGAGTCAGCTGGTACATAATATGCAATGCATAGTTCTAATTGTTTATTACTGTAGAGCAGAATTGCTAGGGAACATTGCTATAGCAATGTGCTTATATTAAAGCATATATTTCTGTGTAGATCAAGTTGATAGACTTTAACTAATAGCTGGATAATGCTGCCCAAATTTCTAATTGAGCACCTTTTTTATTTTTAAGAAAAATAATAGAAATGTTTGGGACTTAGGAAAAAATAAATAGTTGACTGCGTTTTTTCCTGTAGTCTGTATGAAATTGTTTTGTCATGAAGAATGTGAAGTATTTTTAAGATTTTTTTTTTCATGTTGGTGATTATGCTGATTGAAATACAGGATAATGCATAAACAAGAAAACTGGATTTCATGACTGATATGAGTTTGTTATTTAATTTAAGAATTAGTAATTCTTCACATCACTGATGATACATGATAAGTCATTATGTGCTGTTTTTGGAAATTTGTTGAGAAGCCAAGGATGCAAAATCCACAGATGTGCTTGCTTGGTGGGACTTGAGGCTGCCTGTGCTCTTTCTAGATTATCCACATCTCTTAGAGAATTCAAGTTGATTTAATGGAGACTTTGAAAAGTGCCCATTAAAAACAGAATATCAAGACAGAGTCCTCATATCAAGCTGGAGCAAATGATTTTATGAGAGATCATAAAATGAAACTGCTTTTGGATTTAACCCTGAGAGTTGGTATGTGCCATCAAAAGCTCTTCATATGGAGAGCTTGCACTGAATGAAATAGGTTACAAGTCTGGAAATTTACTGAACTTTGGGATTTTTTTCTTTATGTTGGGATGAAACTGAATCCATTTGCAGAGATCTTTAATGCTTGAAGTATTGATTAAGCAGCGTAACACTTTTTTTCTTTTTCTTTAGGCATTACCTGAAACACAAATTTCCAGCTATGCAGCTACATTGCACCGAAAAAAGCCACTGGTACCAGCTCTTTATAAGGTCATTCAAGACCCAAATAATGAGGTAGGGGGCTTTTTTGTTCACATTCTCCTATCTTCCACCTCTACAAGTAAAACTAGAGTAAAGGAGAAGTCTGCTGGACTAACAGACAAAGGAGGCATTACAGTGAAACTCAGTAAGACCAGTGTGCTTGTCACGGGGTAGCTTATTACAGTGAAAAATTGAATTGATTTGTTAAATCCTATTCAAATAACCAGATCATCTTTTGCTTATAGTAGTATCATGTTTGTGTAATTTGGTTTATGCTGCTGTAAACGAGCGCAGAACCAGAGCCCCAGAGTAGCAATGTACACAATGAAAACTTAGCTTACCCTTGTACATAATTTATTTTGCAGATGACTTTAACGGAGCTTCCTATTCCATTGGATTCTGCTATGAGCATTTCTGGGAAAGTGTGTAAAATGTAACTTCTGAATAAATTGTGGAAGCATACCATTCTCTGCTGTATAAACTACTTTAGATAAAATGCTTCAAAATATTTCATTTGTCATCTGTGATCATTTGTACATTTATAAATTAAACGGCAAGTGTACACAACAAGGAAGTACTTTATAATCCTAAGAACAGCTCAGCTGCTTTTGGAAGCAGAATGCTTTATTGAGTTTAAAGGAGATTGCATAATGCTCCTTTAATAAAAAAATAAAACAGCTTTGTTGCTGTCAACATTGTTTCAGTGTTACAATAACTTGCACAGTGACCATTTTCTTTGTTCTGAAGCTGCAATTACTCCCTCCAACCTGAAGCCACAACTGCTGTTGTCTTTTAGTATATATGTAATTTGTATATGTATATACTTCTGAAAACGTAAAAGCTTTCCTTTGCTTTGAGAATAAGCGTTTGATTTATTTATTTTTTTTAATATACAAAGAACCAATTTTGCACAAAAAATATCCTCTTAACAATAATCTTGTTAGTGCACACTGATGCTTGTCAAATATTACCCTTTGGAACTACTGTTGCTGTTTGGGCCTGATTCTGGTACCAGGTGTAAGAAAAGCAATCACAGACTCAAAGGTGGCTAACCTCAGGTTCTGCTTGTTAAGGCAGTGTGTATTCCCGTGTTGAACTTCTTCCAAACTTATTTGCTTGTGAGGAGTATAACCATAGTCAATTCATTACGTTGCATATTTCTGTGGTAATATTTGTCTCTAAGTGAGGTCTTTTAAAAATATGCTTTATAGGAGAGTATTTGTTAGAAGGATGACTGATTGCTTATGAAGATAAATCTTATGTGCTAGACTATTAGAAAAATGTACTTGTTGGATTCGTAAACTTGAGGGACAAGTAACTCTTTTTTTAGTAAAACTTAATCATCAGGTTGATCTGTCTTTAAAAAATTCCTACAAGGGCAAACGTAACTTTTTCTAGAATCATATAAATCTATCGTGATAAGACCAGGATTATTAATTTAACATGGAACCAGCATGTTTAGGAACCAAACCAAACAACTGAGGTGTTTTCTCTTTTTTGATAGCTGTCTGCCAATTTGAGAGCTATTGAATGAAGGCAGGCATGCTGTCAAGTTAAATACAGTTGTTACTGTTTACCTCTTAGGAAATTTTCTGGCTTTTTTTTAAAATATGGAAGTGATAATGACTGGAACAGGAAGTTACATAAAGAGTATAGAGTGGTCTTGCTCATAAACAACTTGTGTAACAATAATATATCGATTTTTGCATAATATTTGAATTTTAAAGTAAAGTGTTACTGAAGTACTGGGGTTTTTTTGATTTATAATATTTGGAGTTGGTTTTTACCTGTACTGAAATTCAAACACTGAATGTTCCTGTGGGCCTATTTAGGTTTAACTTGGAAAGCTCAGTTTTTGAAGTAAAATGAAATCACCTTTGCAATGCCAAGGACTTCCTAGACCTAGTACTTTTCAAATAGTAACTAATTTCACCTGTTATGTCATAGTTAAGCCTAAAACAAGCAAGTTATTTTCTGCCACAATTGAATTCTTCAAAAAGGCAAGCATTCAAAAAGGCAAGTCTTTGTCTTGTATTTTCTAATGCGTTGTAACTTCAAGGTATGGCCCGTTAGGCAAAGCTGTAAATTAAGCCAAACTAAAGGTATTCATCAGCTTTCTTAAAACGTGACTAGTCTGCGTCTCTGTGAGGTGTAAGAACAAAGTCTGCAAATTGTATCACTGTCACTTACCTTATTCGAATTGCTGTTTATGCTGATAGGAAAGTTTTTAGTTTACCAGGGAAGAAATATGGTTATAAGACTTTTTTACTTTGTTTTGTTTGGCTGACTGCTGTGCTACTCGGTTTCCTTTGAGTTTGGACTCAAAGTTCTTTGGAATTAAAAAAGTATGTAGCAATTCATGTACACATTCACTACTGGTGACAAAAGCTCCATTTCCTGTGTTTATCCAGTGTCTTCTCAATATTTATATTCAGAGAATTAACTGGAAGAGGCTGATTCTCTGAAAAAACAGATAACTAGGATGCAAGGAAAACATTTGCTCTTTGTTACAGTGTCAAGTTTTGTGGTACCAGGTGGGAGACAATCATAGTATACTTCAGTGGGAAAAACACGGATGTTCGTGCATTTGAAAATCTTTGTGATGGTAGCTTTTTCTCCTGGACTTGAAGCTCTGAACACACCAAAAGCACTATAGTAGTTGCTATAAGCAACTTCCAGGTTTTCACCTAAGTAATTTGCTGTTGTTAAACCGTTTTCACAACTAATACGACGACTACTAGAAATGAGGAATATTTACATGCTTGCGGCACTAGTGTCTTGGTATTGCTTGTATCTTCCTAGGGAGGATGGTTTCACTTGACAGACTAAAGTGCTCTGGTTGACTCTCATCTGACTTTAGCTAAAGTACAGTATTCTTTTCCACTGTTTTTAATGGGACTTAGATTAAACTGGCTGATTTCAAATAGGAAACAGCTTTGGGCTGCTGTCCTCTCTAATCAAATAGAAGCACTATTTATAGCTATGCTGCTGTATATATCTGGTATCTGTTAATATTTGTTTAGCTTTGTACCTGTTATCTTGCAGATATGCTTGTATTGTTTGCAGAAATTTATCTTTTTCTTCTGTCGGCAAGCATCTTGCTCATACCTTCTTTTAAAGACCTACAGATGTATTCAGTGAAGTCTGAATTATTTATTAACCACTTGATTTGAACATCTGAAAAGTGCAAGGCCTTTCATCAAACAGGGATACAGTTCTGTCTCTGTGGATTTGTACATTTACTGTAACAGATGGTTTTAATAATTAGTGTCACTTTTAGACAGGAGTTTTAATTAATGAGAATATGCTTATTAATCTTTTGAACATAAAGTGCTATATATTTATGAAATACTGGAATAAACATACTAGATAAAATAATAAATGCTCAACTCGATAGAGAAAGCCCTAGCGTTGTTTTATTGAAATGGCTGCAATATTAGCTCTATGGGCTTCTACTTTCACTAAAATACCAAACCAAAACTAAAGCGGTGAGGTATTTACATATATGGCTTGTAAAAGTCTGTGTGCTCCAAATGACTGGACTTCGCATTCCATAATAACATTGTCAGTGTCGACTTCCTTCCCTCACTTTCTTGTGGAGTCTCTCTTTGCTTCTGTTGTAGAAACAGGCTTTTAGCTTAGAGTAACTAGACTGTCAGTTAGAAGCCTTGTTAATTAATCAAGGTACTTGTACCAGAGCATTGTATAAGAAGAGATTTTTCTGAGAGCAACGTTTTATTTTACATAAATGTCATGTTATGGCTTATGTAATCAATGGTTTAAAAATAGTGTGTTTCATTGACCAGGGTGTTGTCTGTTAGAAATTAAACTAATGTGTTCACGCTTTCTTGGGTGATGCTGTCGTAAGACAGATACCTTGATAGAAAATTCTGTCATATATTTATTTTGTTTGTGCTATACTAGACTAAAATGTTGAAGTCTAAATATGTGCATTTATGGCATTGCATATTTATTGAGTATTCAAACTAATCAATTGTAGAAATGTCTGTCCTCCTAGTAGCAAGGGACTTCTTCAGGTTTAAGAGAATGAATGGTTCACATCAAACCACAGAAGTACATCTTCCTACAGCATAGCAGAAGAGTGCCAGTGAATTCTACAGGAAATTCTGGGTACCAAGATTTTGACAAATAGACAAATGAATAAATTAAGAATGCATCAAGGTCTGTGAAATATACTGCTAATGCTCCAAAAGTCCTAAGCTGCATATCCCTGGGAGTGGAAGTGTGTACTGAAAGAGGGATCATATATGCCTTATCCAGTCTTCTGCTCTGCGCTGGGTATTTCCTATTTATGCCGTATCAAAATTCCTCTTGGAATAATTTTTTTTTTGTAGCTTTTGACTTTGATATGAAAAACTTGATTAGTCATAGGAAAGAGGGAGACAGTGTGATATGGTTCCTTTCTTCCACTGTGAGGGTGGTGAGAAAGGTTGCCCAAAGAAACTGTGGATGCCCCTCCCTGGAAGTGTTCAAGGCCAGGTTGGACAGGGCTCAAGCAACGTGGACCAGGTGATCTTTAAGATCTTTTCCAGCCCAAAACATTCTGTGATTCCTGTTCATTAACAGTTCTGTGGATGCATCTAAACTACTGCTTTGGCAGTGCAGGCTCTTAAAACGGCAGGATTTTTTGTGCTTGTATCGCACTGACTTGGCAAGGATGTTTTTTGATTCTTGTACTGAAACCTGAAGGGCAGCTCAAGATAGAAAAATCAGTTTGCATTGTAATGAGCAAATGCACATTTATTGCATTGGAGGCTAAAAAGCTGTAAGAAATTAATTTATATTTCTGTCAACAGACTTATTAGCAGCTGTCATTAGCAGCTAATCTTTAAACTTTGTACTTTTATGAACCCTAAAACTGTTTTATGGTGCACATAGTTCAAGCCGCATGTCTGTCACATGCCTTGGATTCGTACCTGTATACAAAATAAACTTCATACTAACAGCCCTGGAGAGCACAAGATGGTGGTGGCTGTAGTAAGGCCACGTTTCCCAATACTGCATACTGGTGCCCCTCAGGTCTGTCCTTACATATCTCCTTAAAAGGAATGCAGGTATCATTGTTCCATCAAGGAATGTAATTTTTACTGGCTGCAGTGGCTATGATAAGGTCCCTGTATTTGCTATTTTGGTCTCCCTTGTTCAAGAAGGGTGATGGCAATTTATTAGCCTTTTTGCCTTTCTGCAGCTTCTGGAGCCTGTTTGCCACCAACTCTTTGAACTTTATCGTGGTTCTGAAGTTCGACTCAAGAGATTCACACTGCAGTTTTTGCCGGAGTTGATCTGGGTGTATCTGCGTCTTACTGCCAGCAGGGATAGGCAGAGCAATGGTTGCATTGAAGCATTGCTGCTTGGCATTTACAACTTGGTAAGTGAGATGAGTGGGAATGGCTAAGGAAAGCTTTGATCTGAGGTTTGTGTCACTGACCACTAGCAATAAAGCAAATTATTGGAACAACATATTTAAATATATAATAGGCTTACATGAAAGCCTATTTAATCTAGAGAAAAGCGTAATGTAATGAAGGTTTTGCAAACACATTCTTACTAAAATATTTTTTACAGTAATCTTTTTGGGACAAACCTTTTAACTGAAAAGGGTCATCTCGTGGCTTTTCTTGAACCGTCCTTACTTGTTTGTGAGGAAGTTAAGTAGCCCTCATTCATGTTGAAAACACAATTTTCCCTGTATTCGGCACTCGTGAGACTGCACCTCAAACCCCGTGGTCGGTTTTGGGCCCTGCACTGAGCAGGCTGTCAAGGGAAGTGGTGGATCGCCTAAAAGCTGTGTAGATGAGGGGCTCAGGGACATGGGTTAATGGTGGACCTGGCGTTGCTGGGCTAATGGTTGGACTCAACGATCTTAAAGATGTTTTCCAACTGATGTGATCCTGTGATTGGCAGCTTCATGTGTCACTTCCACCTGCTCTCTCATTTAGTCTGAATATGTATTTTAAAGGATAATTTGAAGCTGAAACCACTCTGTGTGCTAGTGCTTAGCTACATGCATTTTTAATTTTGAGGCAGATAGTTGTATTGAGTAGACCTGTCTTTTTATACATAAATAAAAGTAACCGTAGATTATTAAATTTGGCTGTTGGGTGTAAGTGTAGTTTTTATATCCTTGCCTTAGTCTGGAAATGGTTACTCTTGTAATGTTATGAGGCTGTTGGATAAGTTTAGCAATACTGTAAAAGAGGCATTCTCTAATGGGAATTTGTGTGTTAAAATACTTTAAAACATACTGAAACATCACCCTTTTTTCTGCTGTCACAATAAACCCCTCCCTTTAATTGGATATTATGTTTCTACACATAATGAGACACAGAACAGACAAGCTGTGATTCTTAAAAAATTAAAAAATTGTTACGTGTATATAGATCAGCTCTAACAACTGGAAGATCCATTTTTTTTTAGATTTATTCTGATAGAAAGAGCATTGGAAACTGCTTGTTGATTTTTGGTACCATTTGCTGGATTGAAGTAGCATGTTTATCCTTGTCAGCTGTTTTCTTGCAAAGGTCCTTTTGCAGTTCCTCTGAAAGTTATGTTCATGATTCATGTTTTTTAAGGCCTCGAAATTGACAGTGGCTCCCGCTATCTTTTCTCTTTTAAGTCGAAATTTTTCTGTACATATAATGGGACTAAAGGAGGAAAGTTATTCTCTCAGTACTTAGGGAGTGAAAGACAAGGATCAATCTTTCACGTGTTCCTAAATTCTACCAGCTATCCTCCCATTGTGATTTTTAGAGGCCACTACAAGTACTGTGCTACCTTGGACTAAGCTTTCACATAAACTGGAATGACTAGAGCTCATTGTTTGGAAATTTGTTGTACAGAGTGATAAGGCAGGATTTTACACTCCTTTTTGGGATAGTCTTATGTAATTGCTCTTAGTGTATTTGCTTTAAAAACTGCTGGGTTTGCTTATGCAGTAGCCTAGCAACTACAAAATCTGACCACTCTGAAAATCTTTTGAGAAAACATTCTGTGTATTTCTTACTGATAGAATGCCTGATGAACCCTTGCCAGTCCCAGTGATTTCTCCTTTTCTCTGTGATGCATTTATTCTGAAGTACTGCCCATCGTCACCAGCCGTCGTGTGTTGGCATCTTCTGGGCTTAAAGTTTAGCCCTGCTCCAGTGTGCAGTTCTATTATAAATACATGTTGTAACATAACAGGGGGCTGGAAAAGCTTTTTGTTCTTATTTGGTTTTGAGAAAGTAGCACTGATCAAAGAGCTAATGCTGTTTTTTTAATTGTTGCAAACTGGTTCTGCAAAACAGTCTGACAGATCTTTCGCACAAGTATGTGTGTAAACTTGCTGGTATTCTGCAAATGCACATAGACCCTGGGGTGTTAGTAGTCTTGTCGGATCAGGACATCTAGCTTCTTATTTGTTAAATGTCTTCTAAGAGTTGAAAATCGTTCCTATCTCCTTAATTCTGCTTGGGTTTTGGTTATTTTTTTTAATGCAGGAAATTGCTGACAAAGATGGAAACAACAAAGTTTTATCTTTCACCATCCCTTCGTTATCTAAACCCTCAATATATCATGAGGTAAGAGAGCTGCTGTGGTAAATTAGAACTGGATTTATTACAGGAATGAAAGCTGGATCCATTTGATGCAACAGACCATTTTAGCTGCATCTTGTTGCAGTAAGTTTTTGATGTTAGTAGCTTGCAATTATTGTAATCAAATGCAATGGCATTAGTAGAAAAAAAAAAGTAAAGGTTGAAAAATTTCTTCTGACAGTGCCCATTTTGGACAGAGGTTAGTTATGTTTTAGTTGCAACTGTGGTTTTTGCCTCTTATGTGTTAGTTTAAGAGTAGTCTTTCTTCGAACTCCCTTAATGCAGTCTGAACTTGGAATTGTGTTTTTCTTTCTCTACTTTTCTTGTACAAAATGTCCGTGCAATTAAGACAAACTTACTATAAATAGATATGTAACAATCAAAGTTGAAAGTTACTCTCACCTTTTCTATTGCTTGTTAAGTGTGGAAGCTTACACACTTAATGGAATTAGACAATGTTTTTAGATTTACTGCATTCTGAAATAATCTTCATTTTTACAGATCATAAGACAAGGGTGTCTTTTGGCTTGGATAGTTAGGAGTTTTAATGTTTTGGGGGCACCATTTACATATGATTCGATTTCTCCTTCCTCCTCCCACCACCTGCTTCTAGCCCTCTACTATTGGATCCATGGCTTTAACTGAAGGAGCTCTATGTCAGCATGATCTCATCAGGGTAGTTTACAGTGATCTTCATCCTCAGAGAGAAACCTTCACAGCACAGAACCGGTATGTGGTATTCTAACATTAGACATGCTTGACTAGGCAGTCAACAGGTCCTTAAACTTTAAAACCAAATATATTGTCTGTCCAGACCTTCCTCAGCGTTAAGTGCTTGGAAATAAATGTACAGAACAGCCCTGGTAATCTTGAGGTGTGGTATTTTTGTTGTTTGTTTCCATTTTGTCTGTTGTTCTGTGAGTTAATTGAGAAGCGAGTGACTTTTCTGTTATTTTTGTGTCTAGTGAGTATCTTTGTGTTTATGTCTGTCAACTCAAATTTTTGCAGAAATGTAAAAAAATTCAGCTTTAGCTCTCAGGCTGTGATTTGCCCTTTCCCCAGGAAAAGGGGAATAGAGCTAATTGGAGAGACAGAATAAGAGATGAGAGAAATTGCCTTTGCCATTCTATAGTGAATTTGTGACTGAAGCCAGCTTTGGGAAACTGATTAAAAAAAACTCCGAATATCTTGCAGACTTGTCCAGTTCTATTAACTTTGTCCATATATTATGCCATATGGCATTTTCCTCATAGTTCCTGCATATGCTAACAGCTTTCAGTACTAGTAACAATTTTAAGTGTTTGATAGTGAACCTTTATTATTCTGTTTTAAGTTAGTGAATTATAGTGAAAGAGAATTTCAGGATTAGTTTGTTTACTTCTGTGGGGTATTTTTTGACGCCGAGTTGTGGAATTCGTGTGTTAAATTCTGACCAAATATTTAGAATTTAAACCATGCAAGGTTTTGCTCTTGTCTCTGTTCAGGTTTGAGGTGCTGAGCTTTCTTATGCTGTGCTACAATTCTGCTATTGTCTACATGCCTGCCTCTTCTTATCAGTCACTTTGTAGGATGGGTTCCAGGTGAGACACTTATCTTTGACATAATCTTGCAGGGTGCACCTAGACTTCTAAATATTCATGCAGGAAAAAAGAGAATTAATGTACTTGTTGCATTCAATAACTTTAAATATTTTACTCTTGGTCAGTCTTACAGCTTAATTGGAAATTTGAAGTTGTGCTTGCATACAGATAAAACACATGGATTATGTTACTAGTGCATGGGCTTTCGTTGTAATTATGTAACTTTCTGTTATTCAGAAAGGAAAATTAAAAAGAAATTTTGGGGGAAAATTAATTGAAGCTATTTGGACTGATTTGCATTTTTTGGTTCTACATATCTTTCAGGCATTTTTCAGTATGATCAGCTTAAAAGTCCTGTGAGGAATACCACCAGTTTCCTCTAGTTCCAAATATTAATGTCTCACTTCTGAGGATGGTTTATATGAAGTGCTTACACAATGTTCTTCTAGGTTTTAGTGGTTTGTTTAGGTTTTTCCTTGGGTTTTTCTTTGGTTTTTTTGTTTGTGTTTTTTGTCTCCCTGATAATAACATCCCACTGAGGAATTTAGTACTGTGATTTCTCAAAATCGTTTGCATGTCCTTTATATAACCTTCTACTTGAATAGTCTTACAAGCATCTGGTTGGCAAAGATCCCTGCTTTTTGTTCTGAAAAATCCCGAGTGTATCTGATACTCCCATATGCCTGTTTTTACCAACATTTTTGTCTAAAATTAGATAAATTCTCCTTTTACCCCCAGAGGAACCTTTTTAAATATTTTTTGATTTAGCATGTTTGCTTCAGGACAATACTGGCATGACAGAAAAGCATTACATGCAGTTCAGTTACATAGCACAGAGAGATCAGACTGACTTCTAACAGCATATACTCTGTAGTAACACACACACACACAGTTATAGCCTGTTTGCTTTCCTGTGATTTCTGATGAGAATGGGTTAATTCTTGGTATGCTTCCATCATCTTCACTTAAGTTGTGGGTATTGCCAAGTATGTTGTATTTTGTGCATCTGAAAATTAGATCTGGATAGAAAAGACAGACTACATTATGTAGGTTAGGGATTTTTTGATTGTTTAGGAAGCGGTACAGCAGGTATTATGTATTAGTGGCCATGCGTTGCTTCCATGATGAAGATTCAGATATGAAAGTTAAAAAAAATTTATGTTGTTTTTCTTATGGCTACTTAGTGCTGCGCAGTATATGGGAAGGCAGGCCCTTTTTTTTTTTTTTTAGGAGGCAGCTGAGAGCAATTCTCAAGAATACAGTATCTGTGTTATCCAACTTTAGGCAAAAGGGGATTGCATGCAGTCATACATCAGATGGGAGATGACCTATTTCCCTTCTATACCACTGAAATGTTTCCTTTAAAGAAAGTTGAGTTTGGCTGCAGAATTTTGGGGAGAGTCTCCCACTTGGTGGCTGGCAGTAGAGAACACCTTGCCACCCTCATTCTTTTGAAGCTGGTTAGGATTTGAAGAAAACAGATGGAGTTAATAGTTATGTGGGGGTGAGACTGGATTATCAGCAAGTCACATCTCAAGGCACTATTATAAAACTAATGGCTGCGAGAGCAACATTAAGCGTGTTCTGTGTGTACTTGTATTAAAAAAAATTAATTTTTGAAAATGAACTAAAATCTCTGTGATGTAAAGACATTTTGTAGTCTTTGTATGATTAACATTTTATTACAATGGTGGTTCTTTTCAGGCTATGCGTGAGTGGATTTCCACGGCAGCATGAGAAACGCTGGAGAGAACACTGTGGCAGGGTGGTGTTAGACCCTGACTTCATGGTGCAGCTGCTCACAGGTGTCTATTACACCATGTAAGTGCATGGGGGGGTTTGTATAAAGAGAGATGTTTAGTTTTACATTAATTAAAATATAAAGCTAGGGAGTTTTTATGATTGAAAAAAACCCCATCAGTTAAACTTGTCACACAAGTTTATAACTCTTTCAGTGTATTTCTTGTTACTTACTTACTTAGCCAACTGATGATTTGAAAATACCCTTGTCAGCATTGCATTAGGTCATGAGGGGCCAGCGGTAGGTGCTGAGGAGAGTTAGGCTTCTGCCTTAATCTTTTCCCAAGTTTCTATTACCACCAGATACTTTCTGCTCATAAGTGTAATGAGCTTGGATGCCAAAGTAAGCTGACAAAATGCCAGACGTGTTGAATGTCAGTAGCTTCTGAGGTAGTAAAAAATCTATTTCTGATGGAAATTCAGCACTACTAAGTAGTGTTACCTGTACATCTTGACTCCATTTTGTATTATTTAAGTTTGTCCTGATTGTGGCATCAGCTTTGTCTTGCTTGGAGGTGACAGGGACCAGTTTTTTTGTTATACCAACAAGATTAATTTAAAAATGCTTTACCTATACTTTTAGAAGTGAAGAGACTGAGGTGTACGTACAGTTGATGAATTTTCTACAAAAGCAAAGAAGTGAAGAGATGATGTGGGCAGAAAAAAGACGAGTTTGAGTTCATAAGATATGAAGGATAAACATCTTTCTTTACTTTTTAGATATAATGGTCAGTGGGATCTTGGCCAGGAGGTATTGGAGGACATAATTTACAGAGCACAGCTTGAACTCTACTCACAGCCTCTGCTGGTAAGAAGCACTCCATTGCAATTTATGGGCTTGGTTGAGAGGAGTATGGATGTTTTTCTGAAGTGGACTGGTAATGAAAGCATTCGTGGCCACTTATTGCACTCCCAAATGCAAGTGGTTGTTAACAGATGATGTTTTCAACACCACTATTTATACGATACTTTTTCTGCTTGAGTATTAAGCTAGGGTGTTGGGAGCTCCTAGGACTCATTGAGGCTGAAGACTTGGATTTCCTAGTGTGTCAAGTTGGGTCAGAATGTTCATGTTGTTCTGATACAAGCTGCTGATGACTGATTCAAAGATGCTTAACTGAATGGCTATATGTGATAGGACGTTGGTTGCAAAAAAGGTGTTTGCTTCTAGACTTTAAGTGGGGCTGAGAATAGCTGTGTGGTTTAACTGATAACGCAGAAGAAAGTGAAAAGGAGGTGAAGCTTCATCTCCAGACTCAATGTCAGATTTTGATTGGTTGAAGTCAAACAGGTCTTTACCCTTATGTTCTTTGGAGAAGCAGCAATAGAATGGAGTTCTGACTGTTTGGATTTTATTCAGTTTCCACTATGCTTGGTGCTCGTAAAAAGAGAAAAATGAAATGGGGAAAGTGGTAAAACAGATCTGGGTGTAGGTGGATGAAATTGGGAAAGATGAAGAAGGTGACAGGGAGGAAGGAGGCATGGGGGGATTTTATTTTTTTTGTCAGATATAGGAATGCAGATCAAAGTAAGAGGGAAAATTAAGGAGAATGAAGTAAAATACACATGTCTCATTTTCTACATGAAAATTGTGGCTAGAACCCTTTAATGCTCCTCTGAACTAAGAGCAGTAAAATTTCACTGGTTTTTACATGACTAAGAAAGGAGCAGATTGGGAAAAATCTTTTTATGTGGCAATCTGAGATCCCTCTCTTCTGCAGTACTTTAGGTAAAATTATTACCTTGATGAATTAATATTGGCTGTAAAATATATCTACAGGCTTTCTGACACTGCTGCATTTTAAGTACTTGGTATCCATTGAATTATAATAGTTGATTCGTTTTGGAAATGACTCATGACTCCATCAGATTGAAAGTTTGAAATTAAATATTGAACCTCCTGAACGGGGCCACCATTTAAAAGGTGTGTGGGATGACGTGGAACTTGATGATATGACAATTTTCAGCCCTCATTGTTCATTTTTAATCAGTTTGTCCTTAGGGATTACTTCCAATTGTAAGAATCCTCTAGAATGTATTTGTTTTTTCCAGAGCTGCTATTGCCTCTAAATCCTGTTGTCTGCTGTTTGTGACATCACGACATCACCAATTTTCCCCTCTTCCCCAGCTGCCAGGTTTTTTGTGCATATGTGTGCAGGCATATCTGTGGGGTTTTCTTAATATGCTGATCACTGCCTTGCTTCCTATCTCATTTCACCACAATTTTTGAAAGCACCTTTAAGAAATTCTCAGCTTTATAAAAAAGATGTCCTTGGCCTCATGCTACATATTTAAGATTTTACATTTTTGAAGGTTGGAGTCCTTTCACCTCATTGCGTTCTCCAGGAGATGTGTATAATCTAGCAGCATTACAAAACTTTGTATTTTAAAAACTATTGGCACCAAATAAAATACTGTCTGTGCAGCATCCCAGAAAAGTTTTGAATTCAGCTTCTGCCTAGGATTTCCCAACAGCAGCAAATTCTTTGAAGGCCATTTAATATTCAGGCAACCCCCTCACTGGGATTAGTTTTAGCTATCTGTACTCAAGCTATTTTTATAATTATGGGAATACCATCAATCATCATTGCAATGAGAAACGGTCCCTGTGTTTGGGTGTGTGTTTTGGAGAAATGTTTTTCACAATATGGTGAATTCAAGCTGAAATAGCAGTATCAGAAAACTATAGACTATCTGTAGAAGCGGTAGTCTTCGCTGTTACCTAGAGACTGCACTGGAAGGGGCAGGAAGAAGGCAAGGGAAAGGCTTTTTCAGAGAAAAGTATGTCTGTTGCCAGACACTGGGTATTGGTTTCACAGTCATGAAAACTGAGTCTTTTTACAGAGGGAAACTAATCACCAAGAGTCAGTATTACCACCAGGCTCGCAGGGACCTGGGGAGTAGCTCAGTTCCAGTCAGTCTCTTCCTCTGAACACAAGAGTTGTGCACTTGTTTCAGACGGAAATCCAGGTCTTCATTGTAAAGGCACTCAGCCTTTCTTAGCCTGGTACACATGAAGCATGGATCAGCAAATCCCTAATGTGACAGCACCTTTATCCAGTGCATTTTATGGATGTACTTACTGCTATTGTTGGATGTTCATTTCATTAGAGCTCCTTTCTGGTAGACAAGAGTGGATGTCTGGCCTGAAACCAGCCCTCCCTTGTCATTGATAGCTGCGGACGTGGCTTGCCAGCCCTGAATTGTGCTGCTTATTTGTTTTCCTGCCTTTCAGTGCTGGATTTAGACATAGTGAGCAAGCAGTTCTGTTTTTTTCTGTCAGAGAAGAACTGTGACTCATTCAAACTGATTATTTAGATTGTTTCAAAGTTCTACTGTTGTGCTGATTTCTCTCTCCATATGGTTCTCCTCAGTCCCCAGAAGTACAATTTGTGCTGTTAGAAAGAGCCACCTGCTAAAAGGTTCAGCAAGCAGAAGTGCTCTGTTGCTTCTCTGGTCCTGTTGCAGAAGCTTTTTGCTACTCATTTTTAGACTTTAATCTTGCGTACCGAGAAGAGTACCTGTTCAAAATAGGGCACAGCTCTAGTGAGCAGAAAATGGGAAAACAAACCATTTTATACTATTGAACTCGATCTGCTTTGGTTCAGTAGAGGAGAAATGAGTTTCTAAAGTCTTTAGCATGATCAAGGATAGAGTGAATGCAGTTTGTACCATTTGGAGAGGATGGTCTGGAAAAAAGCCCTACATGAGAGAGCTGTTCAGAAACAAGTGCTGAGGTTTAGTGAATTGGCTAGCAAAGGGCAAGTTAATGTTGGACTAGTGGAAGACAGAATTATAAAGAGCGTTTTTATGATGATGCCAAGAATCTTTTGTGCTGCTTAGGAAGGCGGTGGAGATGATGTTTAATGGGGAGTTACAGGATCACAACAACAGCTGGAGATAAGGATCAGAGGTATGGCAGCCATTCCAGGCTCTCAGGAAGTAAAAAGTCTTTGATTTAGTTAATATCTGCAATATGTGGCTTTACTGTTAGTTTCATTTCTTCTCATGGTTGCTGAGTGGTTTGTTCGTTACAACTTCTGGGAAAGTAACTTTTATTATAATGCGAAGAAAACCTTTCAATTCATGGAGCTTTTATGGTATGCCATATGCATTGATACAGTCTTTTTATCGAACATTATCTGAGATTCTCACAAGACAAATAATATGAAGATCTGCCAATAGAGTCTCTTCCAGTAGTTTAGTATATTTCTTGTTTGTGCTCTTGCAAATGCAACAACTGAAGACTTAATTAGCTAAGCATAAGTGGTGTGTGTGGGCTTTGGGGGATGTTAAGCAATTTTTTCGATGTCCCTTACACTTCCAAGGCCTCTGGCAACCTCAGAATATCAAGACAACATTGATGAAATTTAAAAGCACATTAATTCTGGCACTAGGTTGGGAGGAACATAGGAAAATTTTCCTTACAACATGAAATTTGGAAATGCTTGATTGTAGTAATGTGCTAAACAGTTAATGCTACTCCATTGGCTAGCCACAAGTCTTCTATACAATAAACAAAATGCCAGTTCTTGGAAGAAGAACTTAGTCTAAAAGAAAGAAAAATGTATGTATGCATTGTCAAAAAAAGCAATGTCTTGCAAAGATGCCTATTCTAAAGCAGATCTCTATTTCATTTGAGTGCATAGAACAGTCACCTTCATAGTTCTATCTTTGTCTTAAAGTAGGACTTACATGCCTTTGCCTTGAGCTAACAATAGACTACATGAATTTAAGACATGCAAACCACATGTATTTAAATAAATGTGTTTCTCTTGCTGTGTTGTGAACTCTGTTCTCTCAACTTGCAAAATCAAATCTTTTGTGGTACATGAGAAAATCCATTAGGAGGCCACATAAAGTTGCTTTCCATAATCTTCTGTGTGAACTGTAGTGCAGGGAAAAGTCTACCCAAATTATGGTGGGAACTGTTGCTAGGTAGGATTTTTATAGATACTAGCAAGTTCTATTTCCCATAGCTGTTTTATTTTAAGTCTAGGTGTCTCTGATCCTCTTATTTTGTCTACTGTCTTCACTAGAGGGAGAATAAAGAACATGTAGGAAGTCAGATATCTGTGAAACATGAGAGATCTATGAACAAAGTTGTGATGTTTCTTATTTTTATCGCTGGTTGGTTGTATGAAGATATGATTTTGGAAAAATCAAGGTGTTTTGTTGTTTTTTAGTTTTAAATCACATTTTGTGTGGAGCAGCTTAGCTATTGAATATTGCATGTGCTGTGGAGACCCAACTTGCTTTTCAAGAGCTGGTACACAAGTTCACTCTTTGAGCAATGTACTTGTAAACTAGGAAACATAAACAGAAAGTTGCTGTTTTAAAAGTTTTGAAAGTAAACCTGTAATTCCACAGAGGCATTTTATGGGAAATTGAAAAAGCAGTTAAACATCAAAGCCAAAAGAGGTCACTTGTTCTCCTCAAAGCTGCAACATAAAACTTCTGACTTGATAATAGGCTATTGCAATTAAAAATTCCATCTAATCAAGGTGAATACATTTTAATGATTTGATGTTCATTGCTAAGGTTGCCTCCCCCCCCCCAAAAAAAAATCTTGAAAGTATTTGCAGTCTAATCCCCTTGGTTAGTTTGGTTTTGGTAGCTGCTTTTTGTAGGATTTTTTAGGGGGGAGGTTGGGGGTATGAAGTAAGCCTCGGTGGAAACTGGCCCTGTTTCTTCCCCGTACAAGGCCATGTGCGGTTTGCATTGGCTTGGCCAGTGACTTTGTTTCATGACATTCTTGTCATAAAACATAAAAGGTATTTCCCTTGTCATTTTGCAGTCTCTTTTGGGTGGAGTCCTTCCTGTGTAAGTAGTATTTGTCAGTACAGATTGCAGACATGGAACAAAAATTACTGAAAAAAAAAAGGAGAAAATCTAGCTATATTTTGGAGAATGGGTCTATGATGAGCTTTTCAACGTAGTTATTAGCTGTGAATCTTGGGGATGGATCCATCCATGTGGATGAGATTTGGCTATTTACTTTCTGTATCCAGCAAGAGATGTAATTTTGCTATTAGTGCAATCAAGGACAATAGTAGCACAGCATACTGCTTTTATCTTAGGTTGCAAATGCCATGAAGAACTCGCTGCCCTTTGATGCTCCTGATTCATCGCAGGAAGGCCAGAAGGTACTGAAGGTAGAAGTTACTCCAACAGTGCCGAGGATTTCTCGGACTGCTATTACAACAGCTTCTATCCGCCGTCATCGCTGGAGGAGAGAAGGTGAGCTTTCTCTGCCAAGAGCAAATGCTGTAGCGTACTGTATTCATCATCGTCACTGTAATCTGGCTTCTGAGTTTGAATGTTTGCAGAACAGTTGGTTTGGGTTTTTTGTTGTTTGTTTGTTTTTGAGAAGTGATACTCCATAACAATGTATGATATTTTACATCTTCAGAGCACTGCATGAACATGAACATTTGGGGTGTTTGTTTTGTTTTGATTTGGTGATACGCTGTGCGGTAGATGAGAAAATGGAGAAGCTGGAAAATGTCCTAAAGGATTTTTTTCTCCATGTAACACAGGATAAAATTGTAGGAGTAGAGTATGTCTAGAATTTAAGTTCTTGCTTTAATCCACAATAAAACTCAACTGCCTCTCATCATAAATAGCTCAGGGAAGGAATGGTATTACCCAGGTCTTGATAGAGTCCCAGCTACCTAAAGCTACTGAAGGCAGTGGGAGAGGGAAAAGCTGAACATCACAATCCCACCATCCTATGGCCCAATTTAGAGAGGGACTATGTCATAAAATAGCTTTGATTAGCTTAGAACTAGTAATTGTTTTTTCTCAGTGAGTACTTTTGTATGGAAGTGTGCTTGACTGTACAAATTAAAAAGAATAAAGTAGTAAGGTATATTACCTTGATATGATGACATCTTCAGTGTAGGTGTAGCAAAAAGATTGCTTTGAAATCACTTTGTTATACTTACAATGCTTTGTTGTTGCACATGTATAAAACATAGATTAAAAACACTGCATAGATGGCTGAAGGTAAAAGAGTCTGAAAACATGGATTATGTATTTTCCTCTGGTACTCCTTTTCTGGGATTTTTTGTGGTTTTATTTGGGGAGGGTTGTTTTGCTGTGGGATTTCTTTATATATTATGTGCACAAGGATTTCATGGCCTCTGGTCTTCAGCTGAATCAGGATGTCCAGGACAACAAGTAGCTGTCTTCTGTTTTCAGGACTCTGGGTCATGTTTGTCTTTGCCGTAGTTGCCATTATATTCATTTGCTAGTCTCTGGTCTACAGGATAGCCCACCTGTCTCTTCCTGTGGATGTTTTCACAACTTTTAGCAAAGCATGAGTAGTGTTTTGTGTTTGTTCCGTATCTGCATAAGTCTTCTATTTTCCCTGCCTGGGTTGGAATGCCAAGAGAGGAATAGAAAAGCACTAAAATGTTATGTGTTGAATCCCAGATGGCTTTGACTTCTCAAGCGAGGCTGACTCAAGCATACCTGGCTCACCGATCCAACACGGCTCCACAGACCTAGGGATCAAACGTGAGCAAGAGGGGGAGGTGCCGATGCGCAGGACCCCTGAGCATGGCTTCCCGGAGCCCACCTTGGCAGCAGCCACAACAGAGGGTAGGACAGAGATGAGGAGGCAGAAGTCAGTGAGGCAGTTGCTGGAGGAGGATCCTGGCTCCCTATCCCCAAGCAGAACTTCTTTCCATTCTAGTGTGTGTTTCCGCTATCCCAGGGTGTATTAGCTTCTCTTTGCAATACACGCATCCCCTATATACCTAACATCAGGTCAGGTACTACCTTCTGTTATCATGTGGGCTGGCCTGGGGCTTGCATCTGTGTGGTGGAAGACTGCTTGGCATGGCAAAAAAAAAAAAAGCAAAAAAAACCCCAGCCCCAAACAAACAGGGGTAATAGCCAAGAGCTTTGGGATTGCTTGGAAACTTTCTATTACTGAGCATGTTTAATATTCAGAAGGAAAAAATGCACCAGGTGAACATGGATCTAGTCTGAAAAGTAGACAGAGTAGAGTATAAATGGATTTGGTGACAACTGAGTAACAGTAGCATCTTCTTAGTCTGCAGTTTTTAAATTTTGCCTAAGACAGATACACGGCTGCTGATGTTTTTATTTGTTAGTCATTCTTTAATTGAAAATTCATACATGTGCAACTCATTTACCTGAATGAGCTGGCTACTCTGAAGACAAGTACCAAAAAGTTGTGTTTTCAAGATGAAATCAGGTTATAGTATTTCTAAAAACTTCAGAAACAGTTATTGCCTTCTTTCTTAGTCGTGCTGTCCACATAAATGCTGTAGGACTTCATATGTCTGTTCTGCAGCCAAGAATAGCAGGTAGAATAGCTAGCTGAAATTTTTTTTGCTTAACTTTATGAATTTTCTTATCTCTACTCCCTAAAATACATGGGTTTGAGTACTGAATTTGAATCACGGTTTCTTCTCAAAGATGAGAAGTAAGTATTTGTAAATTTAGCTAAACGTTTTCAGGTGTTCTCCTATCCTAAGTCATCTTTTCCATCTGAACATTCCTTTGGTATTTCCAACCTCTATAAGCCTATCAGTTCATTGTAAATGAAATTTATTTGCGCGCTTGGATGTGAGCTACATAGGTTTCAGATTTGTTCTTCTGGAAACAGTAATTGGAAGAATTTGGAGATTTAATGTAGTGTTACCACATAATCCTGACCCTTAATCAGAGTTGCTGTCAAACAATAATTAAGACATCATGCTTCTGTAGAAGACAGGTGCATAAAAATGTTTAGTGCAGGTTTATAATCTGCTCCTTGGTGCATAATGAATTTGAGCATGCTCAGTAAATGAGTCCTGTCTTCTAGGTTCACTTGTCCCATTGGTCTTACTCCATTTTACTAAACTTTGCATGTGCATGATCTGAAGGATATGGAGAAGTCCTCAGCTGCAGAGAATGTTCTGGGAGAGACAGGAAGTGGGAAAGAAGTTGGAAAAGATGTGGCCTTCTGGTCTTCATCCATTCTGTAATTTGGCATATTCTTGGATAAGGCATGCTTCAAAAGGAATGGGTTGAGTACCCTTTAGTTCTCTAGCATTGGCAAGGTATAGTTACTTCATTGGACGAACTGAGTTCCTCCAGTTGATAGTGTCTGGGAGAAGGCCAACAAATGGAGTTTGCCTTGATTATCAGTATAGAATTGTGTGTGTAGGTATAAAGGTCTATTATCTTACTGATGCTGATTTCACAGAAAGTTTTGGCTAGCAAATTCCCTCTTATAAATACCATTTTATTATCAAACAGTATAGTGAGAGACTGATAATTTCTAGTGACTTTGCAACCTTCAGTTGTGAGAAGGATAAACAGAATAAAAGTCACTTTAAAAAGCTGTATAACCGCTTCTTCAGATCAGTGTTCTGACCCAGTAAGTCGAAGAAGGCAGAGGATTTCAAACAAGTCTCAGTGATGCCTTACAAGGTATTCTGCTTCCTGGTTGTAGCAGCTATGGTTATGTGCACTGTTTCGGGTCAGGGGGACTGCTGTGTAAACACCTACAGGATTAATTATGTACGGGCATAAGTAATGAGTTCTTTGGGGACGGATTTATTGCGGTAAGGAACAGCGAGAGTCCTGAATACACACTGTAGTGCAATTGATAGGATTTCTGTCAGGTTGCCCTGTCACTTTCTCCTCTGGCCTTACAGTAGAAGAGTACTTGAGAGGAGTAGATTTTTTAGTTCTTGTTTTCTTTTTTTAGTTGTCGTATTGGTCTATTGGGAAGAATTAAAAAACCTTTATGACTTCATCCTGGTTTTTCCCCTAAACAGAGTATGTAAGACTCAAACATTTTTGAGTGTTTCTGAGGGCAGTTTTTAAACGAGAAATACCATGTATTGGGAAAAGAATGTGTGTTTACTGGAATTGCTTCAGTTCAACTGAGAACTTCTGTAGGTATCTGGATCTGACTAGACAGAAATTCTCTTGCATGTTGTCTTCTCTATCTTCTTCATTTTTGAGCACTGCTGTGCTGCCTGGGCCTCTCTGTAGTTGCAGCATCCAAAAGGTTGCAACAGCCCCTCTCAGTCTTGTCTTTAAAGTCTGCAGGTAAAATGTCAGTTTTTAAGTGTGACTCTTCTGCTTCACTGTTCCTGAATAGGAATATCTGGTTTAGCATTCTGTTACTCAGTGATGTTTTAATGCAAACTCTGAAGACCACTAATGTGCTTGTAATAAGAAAAAGCTTATCAGTATTGTCTAGAGATACCTTCTTGTGAGTTACACATCTTTCATTTGAGTAAGAAGGGCTTGAGAGAGGACTTGAGCTGCTGCTATTGCTGCTTGTAACCAAACACGCTTTCATCCAGCTTTGCATGATTACATAAAGAAACATAAATGTTGGTGTATTGAAAAAGTGCTCTTGCTTTCAGTATGTTCCAGTTACGTCTTATTTTTATTAGCATCTTGTATTATGCGTGGGGAGGGAGGGGATGTGGAGATATGGCGAATTGTGAATAAAATAGATCACTATCTATTGTAAGAAAACATCTCAATGAGAAGATGAAAGTCTAGTTTGACTAAACAGGGTAGGCAAGAGGGTGGGAAAGTATGTATGTAATTTAAATATGGTTACAGGAAGTTAAAGCAGGTAACACGCCCTTCATATTATAATAACCCTTGAAAACTAACAAGCTTGTTTTTCTAAGGCTAAAGGTGCTACCAAGGAAGGAGGACTGCAGTAGCATGAACTATATTATCTTTCTGCTTCTGGGACACTAATGAGTCAGATCTAACTATATAAAACTACAGAATAATCTCACATTGCATTGGTCTGAGAGAGGCCCAAGAATGGTTTGATTTGGAGATGGCTAAAGATTTTTTGCCAGTTGATACACAATAATGCTGATTCCAAGGCAGATTTTCCTAAATATAAGTAGTAAGTTTAAGACAGAATAATAAAACTTCCCTGTGAAATTTTCTCTTTGTTTTTCACTTCAGAAATGTGAATTTGGATCAACCTCTGCTGCTGCTACTTGGAGGCAGCAACAACACTGAAAGCTTTGTGTCTGTTCTGCTTGCCATAAAGCAAAGCGTTACTCAGTGTTCTGCTAACAATCAGCATAAAGGGATGAACTTCCACCCAATGTTAAAATGTCATAGGTCCTCGCCACCACTTTTTCCCAGTTCTGCAAAAGAGATTTAAACATGATTGCTTGGCAGCAAGCTGGATTGAACCAACTGCCAGTAGAGCATTACAGTGGCTTTAGCTGGGACAGATCTGCAGGCTTTGCGGATTTCTCGCAAATAACCAGGCTCCACAGCTTTTATAAAGAAAAGCAGTATTCTTATAGCCTGAATGTCTCCTTTTTTTCTAATGTAGTTAAATTTTATGACTTTCCTATTGAAACAATATGCAGAGCAACAACTCAAGCTTCATTTTCAGTTTTGAAATTTGAATGCATTTCAGTTTTCTGCTGAAACAATAACTCTACTTTTAAGTACTTGGAGCTCAGAAAAAGGACTGGTATAAGATTTAAAAAAAAAGACATTTTTGTATGCAGCCTAATCATATTATGGGCTTGAAAATAAGGATTTAAGAAAGAAATCTGTCAGGTGTTTTTTTCCTCTTTGAGATTCCACAGTGCCTCTTCGACAACAGAAAGTGTTTCGGAAGTTAAATTTCTCTTCGTATAAGGCTTGGCTTTTTTTCTCTAAAACATCTAGATGCTGAGATAAAAGCAAATGCAGGGGAAGCACCGGGACAGGATTGCTGGAAATGCAGGGAGGATTGAGCTCTGGAGAAAGCTAGGAATTAGGGTAATCTGCAGCAGGAAGTACAGTCACATAGTTTGAAGTGCCAGCTATGCATAAGAGAAGACTTCTGCCTCTGCTGGGGCATTGTTATTGCTGGCCTAGGAAGCAGCCTAATTTTGAAGCTTACTGAGCAGAACTTACTCTGACTGGAAGAGATCCTGAACGTGCTTAGATCTCGCCTCACAATAGGATAGAAATAGTCTGAAAAGCTTTTTCTTTAATTTTATTTTTTTTAATTGTGTAGGAGGAGAATGGTCACCAGTATCTGCAGACAGAACTAAAACAAATTAACCAAACGAGGCCTAATTCCTCTTGTTTATTGACAAAGTTTGGGGGATATTCTGACTGATAAAAATGATGTAGGGGAAAAGCAAATCAAGCTCAGGGAGTACTTATTGTTAGATATTCTGTACTTATTGTTAGATATTCTGCTAAATATGACAGGAAGATTATTGGCTGAGAATCAAATTTTTAATCAAGTGGAAACCAGGTGGATTAGCAGATGAGGTTTGTTTTGGCATTCCGTGTACATCTTTGTCTTCATGTATTTCGAATGCTTACTGCATGTTCTCATTGGTGTGGGGTTGTTGGTTTTCTTTTTTGGTTGTTTTTTTTCTTAATAGATACTGAAGGTGTAAATGGAGGAGAAGAATCTGTGAACCTTAATGATGCTGATGAAGGATTTTCATCAGGAGCTTCCCTCAGCAGCCAGCCAATTGGGACCAAACCTCTATCATCTGTATCCCAGAAGGGCAGCTTCAGGAAAACAGCAAGTGGGCGTTCTGCTAAGGATAAAGAAACCTCTCCTGCAGCAAAATCCAACGAGAGCCCTCGAGATTCAGTAGCTCGGAAGCAGTACGTGCACCAATCCACTGACCTTGGTGCAGATACAATTGAGATGACACCTACTAAGAAACACCTGAGCCTGCCTGCTGGGCCAGTGGTGCCAAAAGCCAACAGTTTAGGCCTGATCAGGACCGCCAGTGCTTCCTCCAGTAAATCGTTTGACTATGTGAATGGTAGTCAAGCAGGCTCCAGTGTTGGAGCTGCTACAGAGGGTGTTACCAATCTAGCAGCTGGCAACACCAATCGGTTTTCAACTATCAGCCTACAGGACGACCGACTAGGCCAAGCTGGGGAAGGTAAAGATCTCCTTCCCCCAGTAGCTCCCCTAACCAAGCAGTCTCGATCTCCAAGTTTCAATATGCAGCTGATATCCCAGGTGTAACTCTGGCTCCCTTCCTTAGGACTCCCTTTTTCCCCTTAATCCCCTGGCAAGTTCATCCTTAGGCAAAACATGAACCATCGTCCCACGGTGTGAAAATACTGACTGTTGTGATCTTGTTTGATTTGGTTTAGCTACCATACTGTATTACTGATACAGCAATAATTCTTACCTCACCTTCATCCTCCCCCCCACCTTGTACACATGGTTGTGGAGCAGTATATAACGTACTGTATGCCTTTTTCCATGCCTTCCTTCCTCCTTGGGTGATGTGCAATCCATCGTAGGCTGATCAGTCCCATTTCAACACTGTGAGACTGAAGACATCGGCGGAAATGGTGAATGTGATCCCTATGAGATGATGCTTTGGCTTTGCTAAGAAATAGAAACGGGTTTGTTTTCTCGGTCTACAGTACTGCAAAGACTACTGGATCATGACTTTTCTTTCTCAGAACCAGGAGTGCCTCAGAGATTCTAGTGTGACTTTGGACCTCTCTGAGTCTGTGCAATCAGTTCTGGGGAGGGGATTGTCATTGCTGCTCCTGGCTGCCTACAGCACTTTTTTCATTGAAATAAGGGTAGTTTTTTCTTGCCTGCCCCCAGTCTCTCATCCCAGAAGCTTTCAACGTTCAGCAATGGAGACATGCATATTAACAAGTTGTTTTCCCTCAAAGAAAGGATTCTAAATAGATAATGTAGGTTACAATGCACTTCTAATGGTGTTGTAGCCATCTGTAATGTTACATGTCTTCCCCTCCAGGACACAGGGTCATTCTGCATACAGATCTAAATTTAGACAATGCCATGCTGTTAAAGCAATTTGGTTGGTAAGTGGGAGGGAAGCACTGCTTTCCCAAGAACTAATGTCTAGCTCTGCTCCATTTTTGTTGTTATTGTTCTTGTGAGGTGCTGATCACTGAATCGAAAGGTGTAAAGAGTGTTTCTCAGGCTGCTCTCCGTGGTATCATGGTTGTTGGACACTCCTGCCCCTCTCAGCTGCTTTCTCAGTGTCTCTGAATTCAGTCACGGAGTCATTTGAATAATCCTGCAGTCCAGACAGACCATACTCTTAAGGGGCTGTCTCAGGGATAGAGACAATATTTTGCTAGAAACACTGAAGCTTCAATGTGAAATGCTTTTCTAGAAACACTGTTTATGCAAAGGGGTACTGACAGTCTTTTTTTTTTTTCCCCAGAAGGATCACACTTCATTGCCTTGGTGTATATAACCCTTTGAGTTTTTTAAACTTTTATTTTAGTGGATTGACCCTGCTCTAGAAAATTCAGAACTCATACCGTTGAGCCGAGCCTTGAATGTATGTGACTAGTGTATGGGCACTGGCTGGTACTTTTGCTAGAAAACACTGCTTAGAAACACATTTCTGATTACATGGGAGAACATTTGTCATTCTCTCTCCATATCTCTCTTTTTGGATTGCTAAAGAGAAAAGAGGAAAGTTCATCATGTATGCTTAAGTCATGTGTGGTGTCCTGGGAGTTTACGAATTGTAAACCCACAGGAAAGAGTTAGGTTGATTTCACCGTCACTGTGACGGTTCATAGAATCATAGAATGGCCTAGGCTGGAAGGGACCTTAGAGATCATTTTAATCCAGCCTCCCTGCCGCCAGGGACACCACCTCTCAACTAGATCAGGCAACACATGGGGGCTGAACAGGAATCGAACCTGCGACCTTTGCATTGTGAGCGCGCTCAACCGACTGAGCTAACCGGCCCCCATAAACATAAGCAGTTACAAATAGCAGGATGACTTTGAGTGATGGTCTTGAACAAACTCGTGGTGTTGCATTGCTGGTAATTGGTTTGGATTTGGGGTTATTTTTTTTGCTTTTGCATTTCTTTATTTCAAATTTACATTAAAATTTATTTAAATATTTTAAGATTTTTTTTCTGTGGTTTGATGAGTGACTGATAGTATAGTCTTCATATCTTACATTCATAAAGCCAGTTAAAAGACATCTGGACTGATGCAGAAATTCAGTTAGAAAGTAAATGGAATCATCAGAAAGTTATAAAACCATAGAGATTCTAAATTTTAATTATTTTTAAGGACCACCAGTCACACACAGATGGAACTAAGGTGAAGTTGAGATTAAGCTACAAGGCATTTTGTGTAAAAATCTCAAAAGCTGTATACAGTTAAACTCTATAAATGATTTGCTAGTGGAGACAATAGGTAAGTCCTGGTTGAAAATATGAAGTTTGTATTTTGTACAGACCATCACAAAGGAAATTCTGTTAAAGGGCCAAATAATTTACTTAAATCTTTGGGAAAGAAGTGGAGTGTCAGCTTATTTTTTAAGAATTACTTTATTTTAGTATCTTAGAGTTGTTAATTAGTAAGGTTCTCTATTTTCTACATTTGCCATTTACAAGCATTCTTCAAGAAGTTTCGGGACACTTAAATTGACATTATTTAACATATATTTGGCCAAATTTTACAACCCTGTTGTTTTTGTTTAATATTCTTATGTGTGGTATGCCACACTATTAAGCTATTTCGGGACAGTAAGACAGCTCAGTGACTTCTGATAGGGAAGTCAAATGTACGTGCATAAATTTGTGTTGGTTTGAAACTTTAGTCAAACTATCTTTTAACGTATTTTTACAGTTCTCGTGCCTTTTTTGTCATTTCATCTGTTGTGTTTTGGTTTGTTCTTGTGTATATATATCTACCCCACATAAGACTTTTTAAAGAGTTCAGAAATATCCCTGTGAAAAAATTGGGTTTTTGTTATGTGCTGATGTGGTACATCTGTAATTTCTCAAGATTACCCTTTTAGTGCAATGTTTTGATTGTGGGAGCTTGGTTTGTCATTTTCTCAGACAAGTAGTGTTCAATATCTATCTTACAAAAAGCATCATTGCTAATATCTACAAACCAGCTGTAATAACAGGCTTTGCCAGCACTATATATCGTGGTTAGCATTAATGCTTCTAGATGTGTCTCAGACTATGTCAAGGTGCGTTAAAATTGTAGCAAAACTCTGGGCGCTGAAGTTCAGTGCACTTCAAAGTACTGTGGCAGAATTAAAATTAGAAGTGTATGGGATGTGGGTCAAAGGAATAATCTGCTGCCTTTGCAATTATATATGTGAAGTACTAAACAAAAGTACAAAACATACTTAATTTTTCTGACACCTATAGCAAATACTCAGACTTAAATCTCTCTATTCTGAATCCATTCTGCTGTGTCTTGCTTTAGAACATTTGGTACTTGACGTAAGACACTAGATTTCTAGTGTTTCAGTGCAACTGCAGCATCATAAATAAGGTCAAAAAGCAGAATGAATACTGATTTTTTTTTTCCGCTGTGTATGTGCACACATATGCACATACATGTAATTCGAGGTGACAAAGTGTGGGTACTGTATTTTGAGATAGATAGAGATAGAGATAGATATATATATATATACACGATTAAGCAGGAATAAATTAATTATTCCTCTATACAATTTTTACCCTATCACAATATGCTGCCATTTTGCAGCTCATTTTTGGTGGGCTTTATGTATATATAATTCTAAGAAAATGTAAAATGTTGGGAATACTAACTCCAGTTCGATTATCCTTTTCAGGGGCTTATTTTGAGCAGCTTTGGGGTTGAATAATCCTGCAGGCAGCAAAATGATGAAGTAAAAATACCTAATCTATTAAAATGAATGTTGCAAGATGACAGTTTAAACTGCTGTATTATCCTTTTAGTTTTTATTTGGAGACTTTGTATGTCACCATCCATTTTAAATGCAGTTTTCTTTGAACACCCTTTCTGATGTGAATTTGGAAAAGTCTTTTTAACAGCATATTTCGTCCAGTAACGCCTAAGGTCATGTTGGAGCCAGTAAGCATTAGATCTAGTATTTGTACTTCGCAAGCACATTGGTCTTAAACGCATTTCCAACATACTCCTGCTAGCTTTAACATAATTAAAATTACCTGTTTTAACATCCAAACAGTGAGAAAAAAATTGTTTTCTGACAAAGTATTTATTTGCACTACTTATGAATACTGGAGTTTACTGGAACAGGGTTTTTTCTCACCATGTGAGGTTTACTTGTGTGTGGGTAGGTACATACGTTTGTCACGTGTTGACAATCAATTGCCTCAACTGTGTGTATACTGTATGTAAATATGAACATATTTTTCAAGATTAAGGGGGAAGCCTCCATCTTAAAGGTGGTGAAGCTACTCTGTAGTAAGGTGACCCCCAGCTCTGACCCCTTTTTGTCTTCAGATATACTATGTGGTTTAGTTTACTACTTTAACGAAAATTAGTAGTGTTCTTGGAAAATTTTACCTCCAGGGAAATTTTCCTCAATATTTAATGTATAACATGTTCAGAGAATTATATTTTGAAAAATTAATTTTGAAATAGATAATTCTATGCTATGGCTGTATTTTAACCTAAGAGTTTAAACTTGTCCTATTTTATCATGAACCAATGGCGATCAATCTTTTAAGTGTTCGTCATTTTAACTTTGGTTACAAACCAGAAATTTTTGTTTATCTTGGCTTACAAGTTTAAATTCATTTGAAGTCTGAAGTGAGAACCAAGAATAACTTCTTGAGTAAAATCAAGAAAATCTAGCAGTACAGACTAAGTACTGTACTCATAATCCTGGAGGAGGTGTGGAAAATGTAAGGGAACGTGTTTGAATGAAGTGTATGTACAGCACATGAAACAAAAATACGTTCCTGATGTTCGTAAATCTAATAATGTCATCCTTAAATTCTGCAATTCTCTCATTGCCAAAGATACTGCTACCTTGGCATGTTTAATACAGCATTAAAGCCATTAGCTTGGTCTCATTAGTAACAACTATTTACACCGTAGGAATAGTTTGCATCAGAAGAGTAAACACACCCCTTTTTTATTTTTTTTAAATTTTTGTTAAGGATAATTGCAGGATGAAAGTTGCAAAATATAACTCCTTTCTAAGTGTGGTAAGCAAAGAAGCCAGATCCTCTATACTTGCATTGCATTTATATCAAGTTTATATCAAGTTGTTCAATATTTTATGTTTTCTTCAGTATTTCAAATGCTGTTTGTTTCTCGTATATGGGCCTTAGTCTCTCTTAATTATTATTTAGTTTGTTTTTTCACTGGTGCTCAGATAAACTTTGCTGTGGAAAGCTTTTCTGTAGGTGACTCTGAAACAGATCATGATGTGAGTTGTGCGTACATTTATCAGTCTGTCAAAATTTGCATGTCACGGCCAGCTGAAGAGCCAGAATACTCGCCTGCCTCCTTTTTACACAGCAGTGAAAGACAGTAGAGAGCTGTGAGCAACTTGGTTTGTCCATAGTTCCTGAAAACAAGCAGTAAGTGAATTTTGCAAGGCTGATATGTGTGAGGAATTCCACATAGTCATTATGATTTCTTTTTATAATAAAACAAATCTTGGAACAAGATTGCAAAACATAACAAAAACATAACAGCTGGCCATTTCAGATAAACTCGACCAGTAACTTTGGCAAGTGTTGAGGCCTGTGACATCAAAAGTTCAGAAGCCAGCTGTAGAAGTGTAAGGGTACCTTACAGCTTCCAGAAATGGATTTAGTAAAAATCTGACCC